AATAACACCAATAATCAATTAGGCAATTAGACATTAAGTATAAATAATAATAACAATAATGCAAAATAATTAATCTCAAATAATTCATAATCAAACGGGGTATTACACCCGACAACCCCGTTCGTGTCCTACGTCCCGTTTTTTCGAGTTTTCCCGAGAACAGTACCTAGTCGGACCTCGCCTCATTATATCGTATATATTGGTTGCATTACGTGTTTATTATATGTGTTTTGGCATGTTCTATGAATTAATTTAAACGCCCTATGATTTTATGTGTTCGTTGCAACCCCCCCTATATATTAATTCAGAATGTGCTAAGCCTAAGTGGCAAGCTCACATGCTTTGGAATCCTATGTGTCATAGTTACATGTTTTGTTATTAGGCTTGGATAAATTTTAATTTACTTCCAATCCAAAAATAATTAGGTTCGGATTACCATAAGTATGTTGATTTATTTATGATCATTTTAGATGTAGTAATTATATTTTAATATCATTTCTTATTATAACTATTGAATTGTAAATTTATTTTAAAAGTTGATAACTTTTGTATTGCTTATCGATTTTACATATATAATATATCAAATTAATTATTTTTTGATAAGCTTCGATTTGACATCCATATTGTATATATAAAATAAATAAATTATATTTATCTTTATAATAATAATAAAAATTATTCATTAAAACTAATTAAAAAATAAAATTATTTCTCAATTAATATATTTATGTTTATATTTATGTTTACTGTAGTTATATGCTACACGTTAGAAAAATTATTATAATATAACACATGTAAGTCGCACAAGTAACAAGTGTCATACTAAAATATAAAATAATATATATTTCTTTATAAAAAGTATTTAATTTTCAACAACCTTTTCTCACTAATTTTAAATTCTAAGAAAAAAATTTAGCAAGCACCCATGTAATACACGGGCATTGTACTAGTATATATTAAATTTAAAATTACAAAAAAAAGACATGTAGAATTAATTTGTAAATTACAAAAAAAAAATGTATATTTGGAGATGCGATGTTTTGATCCCCGAATGTCATAGTCAAACTTGGATGATAATATCATTGAGCTACATCTCTTTATGTGTAAATACTAAACGATTTTTTTCATATATGTGTTAAAAAGAAACTGAATATAGAAAATGTGACAAAAGATTAAAAAGTAAAGTTTTAAAAGAATCAATTACTTTTCTAAGTCTTGATATTGTTTTTATTTTAAACTAAAATGTATTTTTAGTGCATTAATATTAATTTGCGGTAATAATTTTTCAAAATAAAATAAAATGTTATTTACAAAATTGATATATACATAGATATAAATAATTTACCATGTGAAATGTCAATATGTGCATGCGATTTTAAATTAATTAAATTTACAATTACCGAGCATATCTGTGATACCTATATTAAAATCTATCATACATGTAAATAATTATTTCAAATAGAATTAAATAATAAAGTGAAAAATCTGAAAAAAATAATAAATAGAAAAGATGGAATCCAATCACTATGTAAAAAACTTGAGCAAATATAATAATATTGGAATTCACTTACACATTGAATATATATTAAATTTAAAATTACAAAAAAAATAGAATTAATTTGTTAATTACAAAAAAAAAGTATATTAAAAGATGCGGGGTTTCGAACCCCAAATGTCATACTCGATCCTCGATGATAACACTGTTGAGCTACATCTCCTTATGTGTAAATATCAAGCAATTTTTCTTCTATATGTGTGTTCAAAAGAATATCAATATAGAATATGTGACAAAAGATTTAAAAGTAAAGTCTTCAAAAAATAAATCACTTTTTTAAATCTAGACATTGTTTTTATTTTAAACTAAAATGTATTTTTAGTGCATTTATTATTAATTTGTAGTATTAACTTTTCAAAATAAAATAAAATATTATTTAAAACATTAATATATACGTATATATAAATATATTTACCATGCGAAATGTCAATATGCACATGTGATTTTAAAATCATTTAAATTTATAATTTTCTAGAATATTTATAATACCTATATTAAAATCATTTACCATACATGTAAATATGTATTGCAAATGGAATTAAATAAACAAAGTGAAAAATCTGGAAAAAGTAATAAATAGAAAAGATATGAAGCGAAAAAGAAGTAAAACTCTCACATCTTAGAGTTTTTGGGTGTGTAGCATACGTGCACATCAGTGATCGAGGTAGAAACAAACTTGATCCAAAATCAAGGA